GTTTTCCATTTTGAATATGCATTAAAAATTTTTTTTCATTTGATTTTGAAGAACAATTTTGAATTATTTATTTTTAATGGACATTTAATCTTCTTAATGTATGCCTTTAAAAATTCCTTTTATTAACAAACTCTAATTATGTTTAGATCCACTGGCATCTCCAAGCAATGAAATCATTTCAGATAGTGATGTTCAAATGGATCAGTCAGTTTTGCATCCAGGTTACCAACTTTTGTTCATTTGTCATATAATATAATAGGGTGGCAAGATGGTGGACAGTTAAGGTGCCTGATGTGATGTGGTGTTGTAGAGACTTAGTTTGAATGAGGAGATATCCTCACCTGTCACCTGCAGTGTGTGTTGTGCATGGCTTCATGGGTTTTTGATACTTCTTGGAATTGTGTGAGGGAGAACTGAAAAAGCTTTTGCAAAATAATAAATAGGATATTAAACTGCATGATGAATTTGCAATTGTTGTCATCATTATTTAATTGTATATCATGTCGTTGGTGATTATTTTTAAGATACAATGTTTTTAATGCTGTTGAATGAATGGGGGAATTGTAATTTGTATTTCAACTAAAATAACTCATGAATACATAGGTATTCATTCCTAAGTAATTAGAAAAGTGAGATGAAATGATGAAATCTTAGTGAAAACAAATACGTGAATATATAATGCATAAATGCATGTATGCATTTATATATATATATATATATATATATATAATAATAATAATAATAATAATAATATCAATAATTTATATAGCACTAATTAGATAAAATTCAAAAGCGCTCTCACACATTAAACATATCAGAAATCAATAGCTAAAGGATAATACATAATAATAGGCAAAATCAAATACCCAAGACAAAACACAAAAAACAGAGACAATTGATATAAGGTGATAAACAAATATCAAAAATAAAAAATCAACTGTCATGACAATCAAACCATTTTGAAATCCAGTGAAGAAAAAAGACACATATATAAATCAGCTATTATGGAAAAGACTCTTAACACATACACACACACACACACACACACACACACACACACACACACACACACACACACACACACACACACACACATATATCATAACAAGAGTTTATGTAACGCCAATTAAATAAAATTCAAAAGCGAACTCAACGTTAAACACAACATGAAATATGGATAAATCAATAATCCGACGGTAGATGATAATACATAATAATACGTAAAGTCAGAAATGAAAAACAATAAATAGAAACAACCGATATATAAGATGACTATCTAATAAAAAAAACAAGCATCAATTGGCAAGACAATAATACCGTTTTTAAATCAAAAGAAATTAAATATATACACACACACACACACACACACACACACACACAAACCCACCCACACACACACACACACACACATACATACATCATCTCTCATAAGAAAACAAAAATGTTTTAAGTTCTTTTTTAAAGCGAGTAATGGACAATCCTGGATCTCTGAGATGGACGGGAAGGCTGTTCCAGACAGTTTGTCCAGAAACCGCAATACTACGTGAACCAATACATAGATTGGCAGTCGGAACTTTTAACAGATTCGCAGAAAACGATCTTAGACCAGACCCATAAGAATCTACTGAGTACCTTTTAAATTTATCTTGTAAGTATGCTGGTGTCAGGCCATTCATTGATTTATGCAACAAGACTGATATCTTGTAGATTATTCTTTTATCAACTGTCAACCAATGCAAACTTTTGATTATGGGCGTCACGTGATCATACCGTAAACCACCAACCACTACTTTTGCCATACGATTCTGTAGAGACTGCAATATCGCAGTAGGCCTCAGGGGTAATCCATAAAACAAACTATTACAGTAATCAATTCGCGAATGGACAAATGCATGAGCCAAAGTCTGCAGTGTGGAAACGTCCAATGAATTGCGAATTTGGTTAATCCTTCTAATCTGTAGCATACAATCTCTAGAGAGCATTTTGAAGTGCTGTTTCATCGACAAGTTTGAATCAAATATGACACCCAAATTCTTTGCCTTATCACAGAATGGAATTACCACGTCATTGACAAAAATTGAATCAGCATCTAATCTGGACAGCTGTTGCCATGTTCCAACAGGCAACAATTTAGTTTTATTTTGATTCAACCTTAAGCCATTTTTCGACATCCATAAATTAACCGCCAACAGACAGTCCACCAGTTTATCCAGCTCAGCCTGAAATGAGCTAGGTGAACCACTGACTATTATCTGAATATCATCTGCAAAGGCATGACTCGAGAAGCCGAATGATTCAATAACCTTAAAGACCTCAGACGTATATAAGAGAAATAGCAATGGTCCAAGAACTGACCCCTGAGGAACACCAAAAATAACTGTGGTAATATCAGATAATTTTCCACCAAACGAAATCTGCTGAGTTCTACCAACTAGATATGACTCCATCCACTCCAAAACCACAGGGTAGCAGATTGTTACACCTTAGATGATCAAGTATTTGTCTAGCAACCATACGTTCAATAATCTTCGAAATAAAATTGAGGTTAGAAATCGGTCTATAGTTATTGATATCACTAGCATCCATACCACTCCTCTTCAGAATAGGAAGCACAATTGCATGTTTACACGCCTGAGGAAAACGACCAGATTTTAAGCATAAGTTGATCAAAGATGTTAAAAACGGAGTGAACAGGTTAACGTATCTCTTTACAACATCAGTCGGAAAAATATCCTGTTGACATGACTTAGCTGGTGCACTTTGTATCATGCTTATAACATCATCCTCAGTCACAGCAGTAAATGTTGATAGTTCTTTAAACTGAACCCCAGTTGCGATGACATCCAGCCTTTCTGAGGGCGCCAATCCGTCCTTGACTTTAGATAATTTTTCCACAAAAAAATTCATGAACTGATCTTCAGTTAACCGCTCAGCATCATAGCATATGCTATCCTTATTACCTCTACAAAGGATCTTATCTATTACCCTCCATAGATTCTTAGGATTACCTTTGTTATCATTGACAATGATGGTCCAGTATTGACTGCGTTTAACACCAAATATCCTGGATTTTTCATCTAAAGCTCTTTTCCATTCTTCTCGATGAATAGATTGATGACTCCTTCTAAAAATTCGTTCTTTTGATATATATATATATATATAAATGCAATGTCTATATATATATATATATATAGATATTGGATTAAACCTGCCAGAAATGCAATTATTGATGAAAATCACAGCAACTTCCAATTTAACTTTTCGATTTTTCTAACGGTTGATCGTAAATCATTTTAAAATTTCTTTAGTTCAAAACCAAAATTTTTGTTTATTTTATGCATCATAGAACAGAAAAGCTTTTTTCTGTATTCTTATACCATCTTCTGTGTTCAAATTGATATGTTGTGTTTCTGTCCAGGTGCTCAAATATTTTGTTGATTCCTTGTTTGTTTAAAGTGATTATTTAGTTTTCAAATCTTCAACATCATTAAATATAACACTTTATTATAACACTTTATGTGTTTTTATTATTGATAAATATAGCACTGTATGTATGTACATAAATGTGAAGTTAGTATTAAGGCGTGTAGCTGATAATGATGTTATCATTCTTTGTTGGATGTTTATTTGGGGTTTATTGATATGTATTAGGACAGCTTCTACAATTTTTAAATGTATTGTTTTGGTGTTTGATAAATTATTTGAGTTGCTGTCAAGAATTTTCGGGTTATTGGAGTTGCGTGTGTTGTTTGCTAGTGAGATTTGATGGCACCTCCTTGTGTATGCGTTGTAAGACGTCTTGATAGTGAAGTGGTCATAACATCAATGTACGAATGTTGTTGACGAGCACAGTCGTCAATAGGGCATTTAAGTTCATATATTGCATGATTACGCTAAGTAGAATCGTCTTTAGGAGTGCAGTTTTTCATTAGGAACAATTGTGATGTCTTAAAATTATTGTAGTATATCTTGAGTCTTATTTTATTATTATCAGTTAATGGTCTAACATTTCTTTTTATGATTTGCAACCATTGTTTTCTAGTAGGTCAGTAATTCTTTTTAGTTCCTTATTGTGATCTTCAGTTGAGGATGAATGCGTGAATGCACGGTTCACAAAGGAATTTATTGTACTTACATTGAATTTTTCTGTACATTCACTTAACCCATTTAAACAAATACCTTTTTATGTTGGTTTGACGTATTCGACAGTTGTAAATCTTGTTCATCATGCATTTCCAAAACATCCAGAAATGGATCGTGTATTATGAATTTGTATATGTGTGTATCTGATGACAGATCAACTATTTTTACCCATATATATATATATATATATATATATATATATATATATATATATATATATTTATTTATTTATTTATACTGGTGTTTAGTTTTACAAGAATCTATGGGCTATTTAAAAAATCGATTTTTAACTTAATTAAGAAGAACATTTTTTTAAAGGATATGATTTAATTATTTCAATTATTTAAGTTATTTTATAAGGAAAAACTTCTAATATGAATTCAATTGTTTAGTTTAACTTGATATATTTTGATTATCATTTTTGTTCTACGTAATTTCTGTATTTCTGTTTTTTTTTGGTTTAATTTAACTTGTTTTCATTGGCTGGCTATACGATTTTATTTTCATTTGTGTTGTTATTTTCATGTGGGTATATGTTTTTATTTGGTTTGGGTGGCTGTACAAGCTTCTTTGTCTCCATGCTTTTTTGCTGAATAATATATATATACATGTATATACATATTGTTATGGTACATATATATAAAATAACATAGTTATTTTAGTATTCATGAGAACTCATTTCTTATTTCAGGAAATGCTAAAATAAACTGATAACATCAATATCATGGTTGCCCACCATTTCTAAAATAATTTTTTTTTTCAAGGAAGAAAAGCTTTTATGTTTTTTTTTATAAATAGTTTTGTAGTAAAATAATTGAAATGTTGTACTTGATCATTCAGGATTCGTAGAAGCTGGTATGGCCAGTGGTCCTCTGAGACAAGCCTGCAGTGAAATGGCTTATACTTCACCTTTTGCTGCCAGCAACCCTTCAGTGCAGGCCAGATTGACATTACTCGAGAAACAATTCATACTTCAAAGAGAGCAGTTGAGTCGACAGTTTGAGGAGCAATGTAGACTCCTCGATAATGAACAACAAGCAAAGGTTCAAGAATATCTCAAAGTAATTAGCTGGTTTTTTAACATTTAAAAATTGTTTACAATGATGTAACATTTTATTATTTTTCATTGTCATGCCATGTTGACGTAATTTTTTGTTTCTCAGTCTTTTGAGTGTTTTTGTATTTTCATAAGTTATTGCAGAGTTAGTTTTAATTTTACATTTCATCAGCAGAAAATTATGTGGGTGGTGATGATAGCACATTCTTTCTAATAATAGTAATAATAATAATAATAATAATAATAATAATAATAATAATAATAATTGTGCTTATTGACCATTAAATATTGCTATTTAATTCAATTTCATTTAGAATTTAAACCAATTGCTCGCAGATAATTTTGAATCAGCAGCAAAAGGATGAAGCAATGGAAATTAAAAGGAAAATGAATGATGACCAAATGTCAAAATACAAACACAAACGAAAGACAGAAGAAAGTTTGTTGTGATGCAATATTTTCTGTTTTAATACTGTCCCCATTTTGTTTTCATTAATGTAATTAAGATTTTTATTGTTATATGTGCTCATCAAAATACCGTTATAGTTTTGCAGTATGACAGTTATTCTTTGTCAAATAAGACGATTCAACGTATTTATACTTTTAGTGGTATGATCATGGTTTGATTGAAAATCAAATGTGCTTTTTATATAAATTGATTATTTTTGTTATTTGCTGAGAATGAAAATGATCTCATTGAAGGTGCAGTAGCTTCGACAGCTGTTAAGTTGAAGTTGAGGGAATGTCTTTTGAACAAAAACAAACTTGATCATCACTATCAACCCCACACTGACTCACCTCCTGAGTTGAGACAATGGTAAGCTACTTTTCTTTGTTGCTCTGTCTCTTTGTACGCATGTATGCATGTATGTATATATAGATGAATGAGTGTATTTATGTATATATGGTATGTATTATTATTATCATTATTATTATTTTTATTTGAGCTCTTTTATAGCGCCTTTTTTCTAACCAGAGGTCTTCTCAAAGGCGCATTTTATAATACAATCAACTAAAATGTTACAAGCAGTTCAATACATACTAAAAACTTAACTAGTAAAAGATAACTTCACAATAACATCATAAATTGAGGCGCCATCTTACTTCGCAGTCAGTAGAAGAGTCCAGTTCACTTCTGTGGTTGTGGCTGCTGTCATTGAGGTGCCATTTATGAATTCAGACATTCATCGGCCGCAAAACTTTTTCAACTACCTCATCAGAATATTTGGCATAAATAAGAAAATAGATTGAGTTTCATCAGGTTTGTCATTGTTACCTTTCTTCCTGAACAAAGGATAGCAAATTATTACTTGAATGTTTGCCATTTGTAAATGTTCAATAATATCAGCAGCAAGGCATTTTTATACGTTGCTAACGTGATATATCTCTGCAAATTAATATTTTGCTTGCTGTCAGGTCGGAATTTTTTGAGGGGCCGGAGTCATCGAATATCCAACTCCGACACCCTGTTGTCAAGTTTGCCATCACCATTTTTTACTTGAGGTTTAATTTCAACTTCTTTATCGCTTGCAAGATAAATAGGCTTGTTTGCAATGTGTTGTACACTTTCTGGTATTTCTTGCATACTGCTCAACATTTAACCATGTTTTTCAAGCGCACACATGGCCACTTTTGTTTTATCCAATCTGTGTCTTTGAATTGAATTCTCAACAGAATACGAACACAGTAATATTTGTTGCAAAAGTCACAAAAACAAATTTATGGAATTTATTATTGAGATTTCTGAGCAAAAACATATTCACACATTTTGACATATTCAATAAGTACGAGTTCATTACCAGCGTTTGGTAAAAACTTTGGCAGTTCAATTGAGAGTTTTTTGGCCTCTTGAACAAGAATTTTCCGACTGTTGATCACGTTTGTTTGCTGAAACTATCAGTAAGAGCAGTTTTATATTCAAAAATGTTTAAATCCATGACTATTATTCTACATTTAACATAATAATTCGGCTACTAAAATTAAATCTACCATCTTGAACTGTAACAACAACCAAAAATGTGTGTATGTATGTATGTATGAACAAGCCATGGTTAGGCATGCAATCGTTTCTGAGTTTGCTTATTTGTTGGTCCGAACGTTTCAATGCAAATAAGTTGAAACATTTTGCTTATGTTGTTTAATGAAGCGTATTTTTCGTTTTTAAAATCGGACGCTTTAAGGGCAGCGGTGCCCGCCTCCACTGAAGTATAGCCAATATATCGGTCAGCCATGGTGTGCGGAAAGGTAACGTCCCAAGCCAGGGACCGTCTCTGCGTTCATGAGGTGATAGTGTGATCATCAGGCCTAAAGGCTCCTTCTTCTATCAAACCCATGGTTTTTTTTATAAACCGGATACCAGCCTTTTGGAAACATCGTACTAGGTATTCATTGACAGCTGTATGTTTGGCCTGTCTTCCAGGACCTAGACGGCAAGAAAGACTATGGTATCCGATTTTATCAACCCTTGCTCCACATGCACACTCGTATTCGGTAATGATCTGGGCTCCGAGTCTCAAACCCAGACTCACGCGGACACAGGAATCATCCAATTTAGTGCCGAAGGAGGTTTTGGGTAGCGCCCTTAACCAGACGGAGCCCAACTCGCTTTTGACAGCCATAATTCTGGTCTTGTCAAAAGTGGAGCCATTCAGTTGTAACAATTGGTCAATTGATCTTTCAAGACAAGAGGCGTTCCAGTTTTTTTGCGAGGGGTTCTCCAACGCAACCACATTTCCGTTGGTGGCGCGCCACATATCATATACTTGAATTCTATAGTTAACAACATAAATCCCATCCCTCGGCAACATCAGATCTTGGAGGGTCACCGTGGCAGCAGCATAAGCCAAAAAGGCAGAAGGTGCCAGCTCAGCCACGGAACCCAAACCCAGGCCACCAACACATATTGGCAAAGTCCCCTGCATCCAATTTTTCTGATCAAGTGATATGTTGAAGATAGACTTGTTGATGTATGTATGTACATATGTATGTATGTGTATGTATGTATTTTTGTTTGTTTTTTTATCTAAATCGTTCGAACATGGATGTTGTAATTATATTGTATTCAGCCTATTTTATTATATATTATTAGCGAAAAATGTATTTTTGCCCTCATTCATAACTGTTGAAACATCTGAATTTTTCACAATCGCGGGTTTTTTATTATTCGGCTTTGGCTTCAGCTGAATGATGGATCAACTATCTTAGCCGTAACGTAAATATCATAAATGGTAATATATATATATTGGAGTGAGACTATCTGATATGTATATATCTATATTATATACTTATTTTGCTTGTTTCGTTTATTTAAAACCAAACCAATTGCATTGAAATAGCAGATGAGAGGTGTTTGGTGACCAAATAATAATAATACCTGTATTGGCCACCACCGTTTCACTAAAAAAAACATTATATATATATATATACATTATATATATATATATATATATATATATGTTCGGTTGAAGATTACACCCCATTTTGCAGTTAGAAGTTTTTTAAATAAAATTTCAGCAACACGAAGCTGTTTTGTTTCAACTTTATTAAACTGTGAAGTTTGGCTGACGGCCGTTTCGGCTAATGCCATCGTCGGAGCCTAGATTGTAAAACCAAATGAGGAGTTAATAATATAAATTATAAGAAATAGAAAATAGAATATTAGATATTAAAATGAATAAATAAGTGAATAACAACCTATATTTTAAAAATTAACGCATTATATTGTTGAAAATAAAATAAACGAATAGATTTAAAAGAAAAATTAAGAATAAAATTGTTTGTGTATTATCGTAGTTGAAGTGTTCGTAGTTAGCATAATGACAAGAAGTAATGCAGAAATTATGGAAAGTCGATAATAATATTTAATGATATGACAATTTATTGAAGAATTATTAGATATTTAACAATTGGATATAGCAGAGGTGGGCAAACTGCGGCCCGCCCGCGTGACCTTGCTCGCTTAATAAAAGGTCGTCAACCAGACATTATGACCAAAAAAAGGAGCCACAAATCTTAAAAAATTCTCCCCGGGTCGAAAAAATTTGCTATTTAAGTACATATGCGGCCCTTCAAAAATAAAATTGTTCTCAATGCGGCCCTCACAGCAAAAAGTTTGCCCACTCCTGGGATATAGTATTATTTAGCAATAAATATGTATATAGAAATATTAAGGCGTGGCAAATAATGAAGTTAGTGAACAAATTGTTTGAGTTTTATGGCGTGAAGAGACAAACGGATTGTTGTTAATGGTGCGTTCTTGTATGTTATATTCGTATTTATATTTGGTGTGTGTATTGAAGTGATCCTTGATAGCGCCTTGCTGTACGTGCATGGTAAGGCGTCTGCGAAGTGTTGTACGTGTGTGTCCAATATATGTTTCCACATCACGGTGTGGCAAAGGGCATCGAAATTGGTACACGACGTTCGTACTATCTAGATTATCTTTTGTAGTGGCTGGACTGTTTTTGATGACTAATTGTTGTGTTTTTGTTGTATCATAATATATTATTAACTTAATCTTTTTATTTTCATCTTCTGATGTGAGATTTGATCTAATGATTTGTTTGATTTGTTTTTCATCAATTAGATAGTTATTATGCATTTGATTTTTGTAGTAAATAGGTATTGTTTGTTGTTCGTGCTGTGGTTGTAGAAGTGGTTGTTTGAATTTCTTGAGATATTTAGATATGACGTCGTCGATGAGTGTATTTGGATAATTATTATTAATAAGTAACTGTTTGATTCTTTGAATTTCTATGTGAAGAGATTCATCGTCGGTAGATAATTTAAAAGCGCGTGTGATGAAGTTTTTAATGACGTTGTTTTTGTATTTGACGGGACAATCGGAATTGTAGTTTAAGCATTGTCCAGAGTTTGTTGGTTTGACGTATACTTGGGTAGAGAGCTGATTTGCGTGCATGGTGACTAAAGTGTCGAGGAAAGAGATTTTATTATTGTTACTAACTTCAATTGTAAATGATAAGCAAGAGTTGTTCTGGAACAGGTTTTGGAGTTGATATATGTCAGCTATAGACTTTGTGATGATAAATATATTGTCGACGTAGCGGGCGTAGATGAGCGGTTTGTTTTCTGGATCGGAGAATATCTTAGATTCTAGATTACCCATGTAAAAAACTTATTTAAAAAACTTCTAACTGCAAAATGGGGTGTAATCTTCAACCGAACATGTTTATCTGAGAACCTCATACCAAATTATATATATATATATATATATATATATATATATATATATATATATATATATATATATAAAATCTTTTATTCAGTAAAATACATTACCAGGAAGACTCGAAGTTTTCACTTGTTGGGCCACCTCATCAAGATATTGCAAGAACATGAACAAAATGAAAAATTGAGCATTCAACGTGACAAAACGAAGATGGAACAGAATGAATAATTGATAACTCAAATAACGGAAACAAAATCTAAATTTACTAAATCAAATTATTTTTCAATCCACCTAGTAAACCAAATCATTAGAATATCTGAGGCCTAAACCCGTAGGACCACCCTAACCAGGATTAGCAGAAATATATAATAATAATTTGATTAATACATTTAAATCATAAAATTATTAAATAAAGTGAAGCAAAATGAAGCTAAAGAATTGGAATGAGAGAAAAGAAATAAAGATCATTACGCACAACATACTTATAGTGACTAGATGAAAATAGCCCCACACCACACCACCGCCAGCATTATTCACACGACTGTTATAAACAAAATTAAAACCAGGCAAATCAATCAAAATTTCATTGTCCTCACTCATCCAGGTCTCAGTAACACAAATAATAGAAAAACAGTTCTTACAAATATTAACAAAGTACCTAATTAAAACATTTTGTTAAACAAACTATGACAATTTATATGTAAAAGAGAAAAATAATTAGACTCTTTAAAAAAATCATAAACTTCATCAATATTAAAATTTATACATGTTTTATTAAACTGATTGAAAAAATTGATATCAGGGTCCAGAGCTCTCTTTGGTCTTGTTATCTGAAGAATTATCCTTTCTGGATTTTTGTAGGAAGGACCAGTGGCTGATTCTAACATGTTCTGGCCATGATTCAACATCCTCAGTTAATGAAGAAAATTTACTGTTGACACACAAGCGGAAAAATGTGGATTGAGAAGTGGATTGATCCTTACTTAGCTTGGGGCCTATCATTGAAAGATTTCTTTAGAACTGGAAAACCAGAAATAACTTCTACCCCTATTAGTTTAAGGTGTTCAACCAGGTTGTCACTGGTACATCTAGTTACATTACTGATGTGATAAAAAGTTTTTTCAGTGTATACCTTGTATTCTGGACACTTCTGCGTCCAATAAGATTCATTGCAGTTGGTTTAACGACTGGTTTGACATGAACTGGCTATTCATACTTAGGTTCAACAAGGACGAAATTATTAAGGTTATCTGAAGGCGAAGGAACGCTGTCAGCCCGTGTATTAGTTTTTAACACATTAGTGGCTTTATTCGAAAACCATGCATTAGTCCTATTGCTGACACTGGAAACTTTTTCATTCAAGGAGTCTTTAGTGAAGTTTCAAAGTTGTTGGTAATACGTTCGAGGTTGGCTTTTTGGACAATAAAATTTTCTTCCATTGCTTTCAGTTTGTCATTAAAAATATTTATAAAGTGGTCAATAGTTATATCCGGTATTTTTTTAAGGTTAAGAGCCACGTATTGAAACCTTGACGCTGAATCAACCTGATTGTAATGCCTGACCAGGTCTATAACATCCAATACCAAATCCGGTTTATTATTTCAACGGGAGACATGTTTAAAGAAATTATCCAAAATTTCAATATCACCAATTAATATTTTATTAGCTGTTTTTAAATCCTCTACATTGTAAAAAACAACTTTTAAAAATTTGTTATTTTTAAATTTGTCAATATTATTAAATAAATAAAATAAAACTTCGTTAATGCAAATATTTTTATCCGCCATTCTAGTCTGTAACCAAAGATAAATATACATAAGTTTATTGACTACAACGTTAGGTTGACGACACTACAAGGTTATACTAACAACTGACGGACAAAAACAACAGCACCAACGTTCAATAATAACTGACGAATTTCTACGACTGCTACCGACGTTCACCAGCTACCTACCAATTACCACGAAGCGACTACCAACGTTTACCGACGACTAAACATTAAAACTACCGACCGCCACGTGTCATAATCGACAACCAACTAGCTCATACTTGCAATTTTCAACTATCGAGACTCTCTAAAACTATCCCTTTCAAATATTCCCGCCCTATTTATATCAAATGACCGTTACTTACCATTGGTCACTATTTTTATCCTGCTACTTTTCATTGGTTGAAACTGCCCTCATTTCTTTTCTCTCATTCCAATTCCTTAGCTTCATTTTGCTTCAACATTATCATAATTTCTTCCGCCGACCAAAAGTTCGAACCCTGACATATCTCTTCCTCAAAAGTTGAATATTCCTGGGGAGGAATATTCACTCCTACCTAGGTTTCGTTTCAGCCACCTCTTCTTCCTGTCGGTCTAGTCTGGCGAGGAAATCCGTAGCTTTTTGCATGACTATCCTCCAATTTCATCAAGGCCCTCTGCTGTGGCTTCTTTTTCCAACATTTTTTGTTTCTTCTACCTCAATTCATCTGCATACCTCCTCAGATTGAATTTTCTCCTTGGAGCGTATTCTCGTTCTATCTCTGATCCTTTCTCTCCGCTGCTCATCTTCGAGGCTGTCTGGTCTTTCACCGGTTCATTCTTCTCATTTTCGACACCTGCAAGATCATCTTCGGTAATTGCAACATCATCTCCTCCAACTGCAACCACTTTTTTGGGTCCGCAACATTAACTTTTTCCTCTGTAAAATCACCTTTGTAATCTGCCACCACTTCATCAGCGCCATCAAAATTACCTACACTACCGACATCAAAATCACCTACACCAACATTATTGGCATTATTAACATGACCGTCTTCTTCATCTGCACAATCTTCTTGTTTGCAAACTGACGCAGTTCAAACGTTCAAGGTACGAAAGATAATGAATTGAAGGAATAGATTTAGTGAATCTTCTTTGAATGCTTTCGATCCTGTTTAACTGATATTTGTAATGAGGATTCCAGATTGGTGAACAATACTCCAACAGAGGTCGAAAATAAGTGCAGTAAGCTTTAGTGAGTAGATCTTTGTCTTTAGAAATGAAACATTTAATGATAAGGCGAGCACGGATTAAAGCCCTATGCGTGATGTCATTGGCTGAAGTTTAATTGATTGTCGATTTTTACCCCGAGATCTTTCAAACTGTCAGCAGGAATTAAAACATGATGGCCAACCATATATTGATTTGCAACTGTAGTATTTCTAGTTGATGGAAGGAATAAGCATACAGAACACTTGTTGGGAGAGAGCGGCAGTTGCCAACTGTTACTCCATGCTGTGATTTTGTCGATTGTCTGTTGAAGCTGATTTGAATTGGATGAACGAGCATATAATTTTATGTCATCAGCAAATAGCAGCATAGAAACAGGGTACGATGAAATGCCGTCGTTTATATCATTTATGAAAATAAGAAACAGAGTGGGTCCTAGAACGCTTCCCTGAGGTACACCACTGGTTACAGCTATAGAAAAAGATAACTTATTTTGAATCCGGACAAATTGAGATCGTTTATATAAAAAATTGACCAACTAGCAATATAATTTACCAGAAATACCGTAAGCTTGTAATTTGCAACCTAGCTTGGCATGTGAAATGGAGTTGAAAGCTTTTTGGAAGTCGAGATATTAGAAGTTTTTTAGTTAACCCTAATAAACTTTCTCAAGATGATAAAAGTCTTGTTAGAAAAATTGAGAAACTCAACTACAAGTTGAATAATGCCGAAAACGCAGTGATCTTTATAAATAATTGTATATATATATAAATATATAAATAAATAAATATATATATATATATATATATTTAAAATAAATAGGATAATTTCTTCCAAATGACAATTTTTCATTTTCCATTATGTCGTTATCATTGCGGTTTTTGAGTATATTATTTTGCTGTAGCCTTTGTTGAGTGATGTTTTCAATGGATGATGTTTTGCAACCATACTTACGAGTAGATTGGTAATTCGTTTGAGATCTCCAGTTGAATATGAATGCGTGAATTCACGATTCACAAACTGAACTGTTTGGTGCATTCGCTAGTCCATTTAAACAAACACCTTTTTTGTTGCTTTGACGTATACGGCAGTCGTAAATCGTTGTTCGTCAGGAGATACCATAACATCCAGTAATAGCAATGCTTTTTCACTTTCATTCACGATAGTGAATTTTAATTTTGATCGGTTTAAGGTTGTTAGGAGCTGGTTGATTTGTTCGAAGTAATCGTATGCATCGGAGATATCGTCAACATATTTGGCATAGATGTTTGGTTTCAATTCACGATTGCTTTTGAACGTCTCATTTTCAAGATGTCCAAGAATGAAATTTGAAAACATGGCTACGCCGTTTATTTGTTTGTTTAGCTTTCCTATGGGGGTGTGGATTGGATAGGGTTTGGATTGGATTTGAAAAAGAGATCTGAGATGTTTTTTTGGTTTTCCAATTTTTTGCCTTGGTTTCATTTATTTTTTTTTTCAAGTATGTTCTTGCTTGTTTTTAATTTTATTTGTACCATGTACTGGCAAATTCTGCATTTGCCAGAATTTTGTTTTTAATAAAAATTAATGAAGAACAAACTGAAACTTCAATCAATGCATTTATAAAATGAAGGGCTTTATGTATTTTTTTTTTAGAATAATACAAAAAAGTATCTGACTGAATTTTTTAATTTCCTCTTATATCGTCAAGGTCCACTCAACATAGTTCACTTGACCAGCAGTCACCACCAACAAATTCAAAGTGGTCACCTCCGCTTCATCTTTTGAATCAGTTTGAAGAGGAATATCCACTTAGGAAAACTGGTGGGCAGTTTTGTTACACTTCTGTTAATTTTGTTCAATATTGTTTAATTATTTTAACCAACTATTTTGTTCGGTTAAAAATTTAACTTTAATTTTAGTTTCTGAGCCAACCTTGAAAATGAAGGCTTGTAAAGTTTCATTAAGGCAGAGAGTTATGCAAAGAAACAACCTGTTGATGAGAAGAAGAGAAATGTACAAAAAGAAAAGTAACGTTGTTTCACACTGTCATCATATTTGTTTACGCTAACTTTTATTTGCTTGTAATATTTAATACAGATTTGATTATTTTTTTATCATTCGTTAATTATTATTGTTACTATCTTGATTTGTGTATAAAATCTTTACATTATCATTTTGGTACAGTGCTTGAACATGATTCATCGCCCAATTCACCTCCACTTGTTGATTCGCATGGATCCTCGATTGATGTCAGTCAATTTTTATTTTCATGTCATTAATAATAAAAAGTGTTTTCTTATGCACCAGCGTCTTGTTAATTAATGTTTTCATTGTAAATTTTTGTATCTCTTTAAGAGCCACTGATATTTTCAGAAACCGATAATACCTCCTTTTATAGCATATTTCAATGAAATGTACTGGCCACTTGGTGGATGATTTTTAAGTATCTGCATATTATTATCATCAGCGCCGTTCAGAGGCATCTTCACAGCTGAAACTAAAAACTATTCCGTCTAATGGAACTATTGTTGAATTTTTTGAAAATTGTTCAAGATGGGATTGACTATGTCCCAAACGATTAAGTAAGGTTATATGGTGGATTATCTCATGTTTTCATCACCCTGTTTGGCGGGTGCTATCTTGATTTGTAAATTAAATTATATAGATACAAAATAGCCCAAACCGCTAATTTAGCTCAGATTTCTCAGTTTCTCAGAAACAACATATCATATTCCTCTTAAAATCAGTGCAATTTTATTCAACATTTTCCTTTGACAATTAATTGTTTTGCTAGATTTTGACTTATTCATGTTCAAAAGTGTGTTAGTCACAGTTATTATGCGATTTTTCTTCTGACATTTTCCATTAAAGTTCTTGTACTTAAATTGTTAAAACTATAACAAAACATTACAACAGTTTTTCCTTCCTTTCCTTAATGTTTCCATTTAAAAGTTGATTTGTTTAAACAGGCGTCGATGGCTTTCTTATTAAGATTTACAAAAATGATCAATGATATTTAGTTTACAAATAATTCAAATTTCATATTTAAGATATAGAAAATGTTAAAATAATATATTAAAATAATATAAACTGAATAAAAATAATTGATTTCTCCTGATTAAATGAATAAATTTTTTAATTAGAGAAATTAAAAGAAAATATGTTCGAATATGTACATAGGACAACAAAGGTGCTAACCTGCTTGATAACAGGATGCATGATGCCAGCAAAAACTTTTACAGCATGCTGGACAAATCTGTCCACAACCCAGATACTCAGGTTATTTATTCATTTATCTATTTTGTTTTCTTTCGGTTGTAGATTTTTTTAAAAGCTAGTATAGTTTCTTTTTTTCAAGTTTTCAATATTTCAGATGAGTTTTGTTTTTTGTAGTTAAATTGCTTGAAGTTATGATTTTTAAATGTTCTATTGATCAAAATTTTGACTGCCATGCTGGACTTGAGGCAAATGTGGGCAGGCTAATGATACATGAACAATGTACAAATCTGACTCGGGTCAATTTTGTGTTTGTCAATCTGGCCAACCAAATTTTGCTCTTTTGCAAAAGTCAAATTCGGCGCAACTATCTGTCTCTCTCTCTCTCTCTATATATATATATATATATATAGGGAAACAATATTGAATCGGAATGTATTTTAATATTAATTTCAATCAGAATATGGACTTTGTGAAAAATGATCAGTCAGTCCATTATGGGAGCCTTCCTTTGGTTGGAGGTGGAGGGTATCTCTTCTCAATGTTGCCTCCAGAACTGATGCTGGCATCAACGATGAAGAATGCTCCATCTAGCATGGGTAACAACTCGAATATTGCAAACACCAACAACAACGTTCTTAATTACTCTTCCTTCGATTTGGGGGAAGCTAGTGGCTCGCAAGCGAGTGTTTCTTCAACAACTTCTCTTGGTAGATCTTCGTTTGGTAACATGGATCAGCATAGTTCTGCCATGCTTACAGAAGCCTATCTGCAAGCTCTCATGTTGGCGAGGTGGGTTTCGTTATCACGTTGTTATCGCATGATTAAGGTCTTTTTGATACCAAAAACTGACTGTTGGAGCTATCATCTATCAATAATATTTTATCTCCGCTACATTTATATAATGAATAAATTTCTTTAACAATTATCTTTTACAAGTTTTTACTTAATTTTATAGTGCATTAATTTAATACACATTTACGTCTGTTATATTAGTTTTAAACATTATCTATTTACTAATTTTCCAATTAAATTGTAGTAATTTAATTAAATAATGTTTCTGCCAAGCATATGTGTTTAATATTGGAGATGTGTTTAAATGATGATGATAACGTTAAACAGCAGGTCCTCGCTGCCACGAACTCGATCAGAACCAATCCCTCTGCCTGTCCAACTGCTTCTCCAACAAAGATTCATGAAGGCACACGAAGCAGTCCAGAAGGACTCAAATAAATATCTACTCAAACAGGTACCCATGCGGCTTCATGCTTCTTAGCAGTTTAAGAAATTTGTAAACACATAAAAATAAGTTGCTCTAAACAAAGCTTGTGATTTTTTTGCTACTTTGTTAAAGAGCGGTATGTGCGGTGTCATTTCATGAAAGAATTGTTGGTGATATCATTAAACGTTGTTTAGTTCGTCAAGTTAGATTTGAATTTTGTTCTATATCATCATTGGTTGTGTTTGTGTAAGAAGTTGATGATTTGAAAAATGTTGTGAACATGAACATCAACCCTTATTAGATAAACACTTGCTTATGTCACTATAATGCTATAATATCAACGCTGTGTAACAGATTCACAGCTATAAATGTTTCATATTAAAATATTTGTTTGCTTAGAAACTACTGCAACAAGTAGGATCAAAAAAGGTTATGGAGAATGTTGATGAATCCGTGGAAAGACAAATTTCCTTTCAAGTTAGAATCCATTTGATGGTCTTACTTTTTATGGATTGTTTGGTATTCTTTTTACAATCATTGTTTTCTACCGACACATCATACCTGGCATTTTCCCTCAATGTTGTAGTAGTTATAATCCAATGTACTTGGTAAAAAGTAAACGCTAAGGTAGGTAATGAATAACGAATGACTACTTGGAACTCTTCATAGCAGATAAAATAAAAAGATAATTACTGAGTGCCACAGCTTGTTGAAAAGAGAGTAAAGTACAATTTTGGCTTAAATTTATTTTTACCATTTAATGTTTTTTGGCCAAAGTTGTAGAAATTACTTGATAATTATGGCTGGACTCTACGATGTGTTGTTAATTAGAAGTTAAGAACAATGAACTATGACATGTCACAGGGGTCGTTGGCGTGTCCACAAGAATCCGAGGATGAGGAGGTAGATGTTATAGTTGTTGAAGATGCCCATCGGAGCGCTGCTGGAGATAGTCAAACTTTTGAAAAACTACCATCACAATTCATCACGGGTTTGTTGTTTTTCCATTTGCTCAAACATTATTTTTATCATTTAAAAATATAAATAATCATTTTTTATTATTTATTTTGATGTCTCAAAAAAAGGCAAGTTACATTTTTAAGCTTTTGAATCAATTTTTTCAGTTTTTTATGATTGAATTTTTGCTTAATGGCCTATAGCATCCTTGTTATTGATAACCTACTTTTTTAATTTTGCTCTTATTTTTTCAATTATTCTCTCTGACTTTTAACTTTTTAACTCGATGAGTTTGAAAAATAACAAGCATTCATCAACTTATTTTTTTTATCAGGATTTAAATATCTCTTTATAACATTTACCCATTAACTTATAGAAGTAATATCTTTATTCTACAGTCTTTAGTAATCTTTGACATGTTTGTGAGATGTGTCTGTAACTATGTTTCAATGTTAATGACTAACATTTAATTGATGTTGTTGCAACATTTACGGTAATGTGATTAATGCTTCTACTACTATTAATATTAAAAAGCATCTTTTGGGTAATACTTTACCATTTCAACATTTTTACATTGAAAATGGTAAAGGATTTCCGTATAAGATAAAAATGAATAAAAAAAGTGGTTAAAAACTTTGTTTTCTATATAAATAAGTTAAATAACGATGATAAAAATATGATACGAATTATTGAAAAATCGGTTCAAAAACTGATCAAAGCTGGAAATGCAGTGATATTTCTTAACAATTGTATCTACGACAGTCCTAACCATAATTAATTTATATACATTTATATGTGTGTGCGTGTGTGTATTGTAAAGGTTGGAAGGAGACCATAATTGATGCAATATTTGATAAAATCTACCGAGCTTTTGAAAGATTACGATTGAGCTTTTCAATATTTGTAACAGCAATTTTATAATTATTCAATTTATTAAAATTAATTAGAAAATCGTTGGTATTCATGGTGAAGCGTATAGGTCATATTTCGATTTTACTCATCTCTTTGATCCTCTCAAATATACTTTTTTCTCGCCTTCTGTCTGCAGCTGATCACTAATGATAAGAATATAATATCACTTTTCTTCGTGCAGGTTTAGCTTATGATGCATCCATGTTGAATCACATCTGCAAGTGCCAAAACAATTCAATTCATCCTGAAAATCCAGATCGCTTGAAAATTATATGGACGAAGTTTAACGATGAAAATCTCATCAACAAGTGTCAGGTTATTTAATGTCGCCAGAAGTTTTTGAACATTTTGATTGAGTTTATAGAGCCGTTGAATGCAATTGATAAAAATAAATTTATGCCACTATTGCAGAAATTGTCGTTATTATTACATTTGCCATTATTGGGTGCCCTGTAAAATATAGCAAAGCACAGACGCTCCCGAAATTAACCCACAAATTATCTTTTGATGTTTGTTCAACAGAATACATCACCGTATTTTATTTGGCTTGTTAACTTGTTGAAAATAAAATTGTTACTCCATTAAATTAATTTAATGATGAACCAACTCATAGCAAATGAGCGTTTCATTTTATTGCATGTCGTGGTTGTGTACCATGATGTTTATCACTTATAAAATAACATTTCATAACATTGTGAATATTTAAAATTGCATAGTTGGTCAAATCTCGCCGTGCAATGAGGGAAGAACTACAGACGTGCCACAGCAAAGCTTATGTGGATATGTATGCATCTAGTCAGCATGCAAGAGAACCACTATTATATGGTTAGGAAGTTAACTTTTAACTCACTTGAGATTTTTTACACTCTTAGCTTATTTACATTAGGTAGTTGTTAATGTAGTTATTTACGTAACTTTCAATTGCGTTTCTAAGTCGGTGTTATATATTTTAGATATTATAAATTATATAGAACCGTCAAATGTACAACTTTATTAATCTTAAACATTTTTAGAAACGTTTGAGCAGAGGTTTTGTCGTCTGCCTTGTGGAGGTGTTGGCGTCGACAATGATACAATATGGAATGATCAACACACCGTCAATGCAGCTAGGATTGTAAGACGTTCTAACTTACAATATTTTGCTTTCTAATCCGGTATTGGAAGCTTTTAATGTTTTAGTTAGATCTATTTTTCATATTTAGACAAAATAAGGAAACTTCAGAAAAGTATTAAAAGATTTTGTTGACAAGGAGTAATTTAGTCGGCGAGTTAGCTTAAGCTCAAATGGCAGTCAATACAATTGATTTTTTGGTAAAATTACTTTGTTTTTAAAAATTTTCGAAAAAAAAATCATGTGATTTTATTCACATTATTAGCGCTTATTTTCAGTATCAAGGCCATAGTCAGGGTTGTATATCTCGATATATTAAATTAATATGATAATAAAATCGAACCATATATTTATTATGTGATTTTATGGTGGGTCAATTGTTAATAAAAACTTAAATATCTTTTTCCTAAACAAAATAATGTTAGCAATGTTCTTTATGTTGCATGGGATGGTATTGTCCCACAGCTTGGGTCCAGCGAACAACAAACTTGACTGAAACCTAAAGGATTTCTGTAGGTAGAAGTAAAATGTTTTTAAATTCGTCCTGATGTTCAAGTCACATGTTAAGCTTAGGCAATTTTTAAAATATACTGGTAGTTTGTTGCGAAGAAATTTAAAAACAAAAATAGAGGCCTAATATGTGAAGAGTTGTTTCATTGTCAAAATCTTAATCACTGGAAATAGATGAGTGACATGGTCTCTGTACTTGAGTTTATAAAATATTCTAACAAATCTTTTTTGAATTTTAAATTTTCTCTGCAGTTATGAAGTAATTGAGTAACATCTTATGCTAACTGCATTACAGTTACGTTATCTAGATTCACAGTCTGCAATAACTTTGAAAAATTTTAGGTAAGCCCAAGAAATTTACTTAAAACACAAATTTTTGTAATAAAATAACATTTATCTATTGTATTTAGCAATAATTTAAAATTTTGAGATTGATCATTAAATCGTTAAATGTTACATTAATTTTTTCTAAAGAGGCCAAAATTGGTAAAAAAATTTTTTTAAAAGGAGCATGGCTTCATTTCTTTCACATTATCTAGTATCACATATTTGTTTAATTCGTTTGTTTTTTATTGAAGGATCTAATCTTTTTATTTCATCTTCCAGTATTTTGTGTGCTTTGGGTTTAACCGAAGAAAATGCACACTTCTGCAATAATTCCCATGGCGTTCTGAATTTCTTGAATTTTAGAAGGATCAGTTAAACAAAGGTTTAAACGATGAGATAAACAATGTGTATGAAGGGCTTTCTGAAAGTTTTTTCTCACAATAGATTGAACTCCTCATGGCAGATGCTCCACCATATATATTCCTGTCCATTCCATTGTAAGACCAAATTCACATGTGCAGTGCGGACAGCGAACACTCAGGGATGCTCGTGTACCAATATATATTTATTATCTTCAATCATACGCATCATATATAAATAATATGCAATGAATGTATTAATTTAAATTTTGCGTCACATAAATCATAAATGTAAATTAGTTCGGCTACGGCCTTGGTCTGTGTTGAAGGTGATTGCATGTTGCTACACTTGTATCTTCTAAAAAATAATTTTTTTTAGAAATAAGTCTTTTTTTAGAAATAAGACATAACACTTTCCGGAGTTGGCAGCAAAAATCTTCGACTCCGACCGTTCGGGCATTCTGGTTAAGTCCTTCTCGTCAACTACAGTGTCACAAATTTATATTTACTTAGTAAATTATTGAATATTTGACTTTATTTTTTTGCGTAAAATGTTTCAAACGGCGTTTTAAAATTGTTGTAAATGTTTTCAGGCTGCTGGCTGCGTGATTGAACTATCGTACAAAGTGGCGATCGGCGAGTTGAAAAATGGATTCGCACTGGTCAGACCTCCGGGTCATCACGCCGAGGACACTCAAGCAATGTTCGTTCACCAGTTTCTATTCATGTTTATGTTCAGCCATCTTCTTCTCTTCTCTGTTCTACTCTCTCTCTCTTGTTATATCTTACTTTTTATATGTTTGTAATAATTTCTACCCGAAATCAGTTTAAAACCTTGTCAGCTACTTGATTGTTTTATAATTTGAACTGCATCATGACAGGGGGTTTTGTTACTTCAATTCGGTCGGTGTGGCAACCAAACTCCTCTTGGACAAGTTGAACATGAAACGCATCTTAATAGTCGACTGGGATGTTCATCACGGAAACTCAACCCAACAAATTTTTTACGCAGATCCTCGAGTTCTTTATATTTCACTCCATCGCTACGACAACGGAAACTTTTTTCCAGGTACAGGAGATGCAAATGAATGCGGGATTGATAAAGGATGTGGGTTCAACATCAACATTGGCTGGTTCGAAATTCCCATGTCTGACGCCGAGTATCTTGCTGCTTTCCGGTCAGTACTTGTCTTATTATTGTAAGCCATTATTGCAATATTTTTTTTTAGGATTCTCTTTCAAGTAATTTTTTGGAGGTTTTAACAAAGAACACACAGGGCAAATAAATAATCGAGAATCTATAAACTTTGAAATGCAGTGGGATCTCTTAACCACCCTAGCCATTACACCATGTTGCACGTCTGTCATATTATTGTAAATACTCGTTGAGATGTTCTAATTAGTTATAACATTAGTAAGGTTAACAACTTGTTGTAGTGCAGAGGAAGTGGCGCAATGATTGAAGTATCGACACTGATGAATGAATATCAATTGATTTCTAACCGACAGTTGCATAGTCATGCCAATAGCTCGTCAGTTCAACCCAGAACTCGTGATGGTCTCTGCGGGATTCGATGCGGCCGCTGGTCACGCCACCCCACTTGGAGGATACAGCTTATCTCCGCAATGTATTTGCTACTTTGCTCTTTCTTTATCTAATAAAATTACGTTTCTGTTGATTTTTCATTTGACATGCTTGATACACAATTCACATATGCATACACATGTAAATGTGTGTGTTTGGTGTGTGTGTGTTTAATTATTATCATTTATTGATTGACTTATTTATTTATTGATTTATTAGGTTTCGGTCACATGACCCAGCAGTTGATGAGCCTAGCCAATGGGAAAGTTGTACTTGCTCTGGAAGGGGGCTACGAACTTCTTCCATTGGCTGAATCGTGTGTGTCCTGCTTGAAGGCCCTCGTCGGAATGCCTGTTAGTTACTTTCTCAATTATCAACTTATATTTTACAGTTATTTTTATTTTTCTTATTTGTTCTTCTTCAAAAGAGTCAAATTTTTTTAGAGGCCGTAATCATGATTTTTTCTTCCGACTCTATACAGTGTCATAAGTTTAAATTGTTCTACTTTTCATTCTGAAAATATTTGTTTAAGATCGGGCTATTGAAAATAAATGCTAACAATGTGAATAATATCACAATTTTTTTACAGTACGTTTTGAAACATAAATATAAAGTAGTTTTATTAAGAAAAACAATTATATTGACTGATTTAAAATGTTGACTGTATTTACCAAAAAGTAATGATATTTAAGCAAAATTATGTTGCAAAAGTTGAAAAATTTTTGGGGGGTCGGAGCCCGGAGTCGGAAGTGGAAAATTTTTACCCGGAGTGGGAATTTTTTGAAGGGTCGAAGTCGAATATTTTTCATCTGACTCGGACACCCTATCTGAGTTGAAACCACCAGAATTGAAACGTTAATGTAAAAAACCGCAACTGCCTGAAGCTGCACGTCCGCCGCTACATTCGGCTAATTACATCAAATCTCTGCAATAAAACCAAATCGATGAAATGTGTGCATATATATATATATATATATATATATATATATATATATATATAATATATATATATATATATATATGTTGGTAATAGACCATAATTTTTAAAGACCATTGTTGTATATATAGGGAAATATTGACTTTGTCAAGATTAACTTTGACGTTGTAAAAATTAATTGTAATATATTGTAAATATATATATATATATATATATATATATATATATATATTATATATATATATATATATATATATATATATATATATATATATATATAGGAAGGAGACCATATTTTATAAAATGAAATCAACCGAATTGTTGGCATTAATCAATTTAAAGTTTGTCTTTTTAATTTTCCTTACTAGAATTTTCTGGAAATTGTTCAATTTGTTGAAAATACAATTATCCTAGTTCATCATGAAAACTAAATGAAACTGTTGTTATCCGAATTCATCATGCAAATAATGCCTTATTTCGATTTTTGATAAATCATCTTCAGTGCGTGTTTAGTCTATATAATTTCTTTAAACAAAGCAGAGTTCCTCAGCAAAGTTTATTAGCTGGTATCGTCTTCTTCATTTTTGTTGTTGTCATTCCTTTGTTCTTCATTGTTATTGAAGTTAGTATTAAAGCGTCGAGTTGGTAATGATGTTATCATTTTTTGTCACTATCATGACGTCTCATAATGCAAATACAATGAGGAGCCATCAAATCTCACTGCAATCAACGCATGCAACTTCAATAACCGGGCAAATTTTTGACGATAACACAAAAATAATTTATCATAACACTAACACACCTAACTATTGCAGAAGCTGTCTTAATAGGTATCAATAAATCCCAAATAAACATACAACAAAGAATTATATTCATAACATTCTAGTAAGGAAAATTGAAAAGACAAACTTTAAATTGATTCGGTAGAATTCATACAATACTGTATATATATATATATATATAAAATATATATATATATATAATTATTGATGAAAATCACAGCATGTTCGGCGTTAGTTAACTTCCTGTTTAACTTTTCGATTTTTCTAACTGCTAGTATATATATATATATATATATATATATATTGGTAGACCATGATGTTTACAATATTCTATAAATTCTACCGAATGTTTGGCGTTAACATGTTTGTAGTTCGTTTTTTCGATTTTTCTCAATCTATCTTTCTTAACGTTGTTGTTTCCTTTGGTTATCAGGTTGGTCAGTTTTTTATGAAGAAAAATCGAAAAAACGAACTACAAACAAAATATATATATATATATATATTACAATATTCTATAAATTCTACTGAATGTTTGGCGTTAATATGTTTGTAGTTCGTTTTTTCGATTTTTCTCAATCTATCTTTCTTAATGTTGTTGTTTCCTTTGGTTATCAGGTTGGTCAGTTTTTTATGAAGAAAAATCGAAAAAACGAACTACAAACAAAATATATATATATATATATATATATATATATATATTACAATATTCTATAAATTCTACCGAATGTTTGGCGTTAATATGTTTGTAGTTCGTTTTTTCGATTTTTCTCAATCTATCTTTCTTAATGTTGTTGTTTCCTTTGGTTATCAGGTTGGTCAGTTTTTTTATGAAGAAAAATCGTAAAAACGAACTACAAACAAAATATATATATATATATATATATATATATATTTTTACAATATTCTATAAATTCTACCG